TTTTTTTACAGAAGTTCAAAGTTAAATAAAATCACCACTTTTTTGTGGACATAACAGCAGCATTTAGAACATTTTTACATTTCTTCCAAATGAACAGCTTTCCAATTTTGCCTTGCTTGGAGTCTTTCTTGTTACATTGTTCATATGCTCAGACTTTCTTTTTTTAACCCTTAATGCACTGTGATATAAAGAGCTACTGTACTGTAATAAAGTCACATTGAATCTTGCAATAACAAGGCACTTATTTACACAAACTTGGACGATGTCCTGTTGAGCTGTAGTTGCAGTTGCTGGCACAACAATTTTTGTGGGAGTTACAGCATCTGACATAGATGATGACATAAACAAAATGAATAAGTCATCAGTCAACAAACAGTGCTGGAACATGGTCCCTTTCTTGCCAGAAAAATGTTCTGCCAAGGCTAGCAGCTGTTTTCTCTAACAAAATAGGAGTAAATGGAAGGATGAGGATGAAACCTGTAATTCTACAATGATTCTGCCTACTTGCACACACCAGGCTTTTTCATTTGAAACTTTTTTGTATTTGGCCAATCTTGATAAAGACTGATAAAATTAGTTTATTTGATCTTCTATTGGGTGTGCCAAACATGTCTGATAAAGTCTAAGGGATTTGAAACTTAAGTTTATGTATATTTTATGTTATCTGAAATTTCTTCTGATATAATCACACAGTTTACTGTGTTCAGGGCTCTTTTTTTAGAAGTGGCAGCTTTCTCTTTGCAGTGCTGACATGTGCTCCATTTTGCAAGATATCAAACAAAAAGTTTAATGCTTTTTAATGAAGCAATTGCCTAATATGCTAGGACATAAGGGGAGATTCTAAAAAGATTATTTAGTGTGATTCTAACAGAAGAATCACATTTGCATGTAACTCTGCTGATTAAATGCTCAGTCAGATGTAGGTCTAGACTTTGTGTCATTCTAGCAACTTGTTCTAGGACATGAAACTGCTTTCACCTAAATGATTCCATTGTAGCTCTGGCTGTATCTCCCCTTCTCCCCTCTTCTTTTGAAGAAATATGCTGAGTCTCAACATTCACAAATACAAACATGTGACCCATATATGCACAGGAGAAAATTACTATATATGTACAGCAATGTTGACATCTTAATAGTCTGATCATCACCGCCCCGCATGCACTATAAAAGTCTTGTGCAGTTTTACCATAAGATTTTAAATATATTACATAACTAGAACTGGGAGTTATAGTTAATTAATATGTCTTTCAAATCAAGGGTAAAATGAATTAATGACCTTAAAACTCTGGATGATGTCAGGCTTTTGTAACAGACACATAGGGAGGTCAGGGATAGTCCAACTAGGCATGTAGACTGGGGTAGTGGTTACTTTTCATAAGGAGGGGGCACTTCTCTGCCTCCCTGGGAAGGCCTATGCCAGGGTGCTGGAGAAGAGAGTCCAGCTGATTTTTGAACCTCAGCTTTAGGAGGAGCAGTGTTATTTTTGCCCTGGTTGTGGAACAGTAAACCAGCTCTACACTCTCTGCAGGGTGCTTGAGAGTTTATGGGAGTTTGCCTAATCCACATGTGTTTTTGTGAACCTGAAAAGGGCATTTTACCATGTCCATCATGGTGCTCTGTGGCAGGAGCTTCAGGCATACGGAATCGGGGGACCATTCTCTTCACAAGCATAGCAGGAGCTTGGTCCAAATTGCCGGCATTAAGTTAGACCTGTCCAAGCTGCAGGGTCCTTCTTGCCAAAACCTGCAGCAAGTTCTTGGTGGTTCGCAGCCAAGTGTGAAGCAGCATGAATGAAAATCAGCTCCATCAAAGTCGAGGTCATGGTTCTGAACCGGAAAAGGTTGGCCTCTCTCCTTTAGTTTGGAGGAAAGTTCCTGCCTCAATTGGAGGAGTTAAAGTATCTTGGGGTCTTGTTTACAAATGAGGGGAGAATGGAACGGAAGATCTATAGACAGATCGCTGCGGCCGCTGCTATAATCCTGACGCTGCACCAATCTGTTGTGGTGAAGAGTCTTTAAGGAAAAGGCAAAGCTCTTGGTTTGCTGGTCGGTCTACATTCCTACCCTCACCTAAGGTCATAAAAAGTGGACCATCACCAAAAGAACAAGATCCTAGATAACAGCAGCTGAAATTTGCTTTCTCCATGGGGTGGCTGAGTTCTCCCTTACAGATAGGATGAGGAGCTCGGTCATTCGGGAGAGGCTACTTCTCCACATTAAGAGGATGTGGAGGAGAAACAAGTGGTTTAGCAAGTAGAGCCTCTGCTCATGTTGTCTCCATTTATTTTGCTCACGACTTTCTGTATTGTAATATTTTAAAATTTTTCTAAAATAGTCCTCAAAGTACAGCCATTGCCTCTTCCTCATTGACCATGTTAATTTACTGTGAAATAACTTCTGATCTTGAGTGTTTGAAAGATTTCCAGTCTGACATTTGAATTTTGTTATTTGTAATCTGTCTGTGTGTGGTGCTTGCCATGTAATTGTACACTACATACTGTAAGACCAAGCCTGTTATTTATTGTCATGTATTGGGTCTGTAGTAATGTACTAATGTTAACTAGGCATTAGAATTACTTCAACTGATGATATGAAGATATATGAAGGTATCTAGGGGTGTAACAACAAATCAATCCACATCGATTTATGAATTAAAACATTTCTGATGTAAAAACATTGATGCAATATCTAGATATTAATACACATCATCATTTTTATTGTGTCAGAATGTCGACTGTTGATCTGTTTTATTATGCTGTATTTGATGATTATGATCAAAATCGTACAAGACAAACATTGTGATATCAAGAAACATTGCATGATCATTAAAAAGAATCAAGACAAACCTATATTGTTACAAAGATAGTTATTTACTCTTCTACTGATGATGCTTCTTAAAACAACAAGGTGCAATTAGCATTATTTAGAAGGAAATAATATTTTTGGAATTTAAGTCAAAGGGGAGATAAAAAATAATAAGTTTTTACTTTTGACAAAAAAGTGATGCAGTTAAAATGTAAAGCCAGATGTATTAAAATTCTCCTGGGCAACACATTATCTGCCACTATCTAGAGATTTTCCATTTACTCCCATTAAATTTTATGGCCTTACCCAGATTGTAACCATTACCAGTGCACACTTAATCCTAAACCTAACACCCCAACTTAAGACTTTTTCTCATCGGAGTAAGTTGACTGGTCCCCATAAGTACCTGTAAGTCGGCCCAGGTGGAATATTCCTTGGAATAGTAAACAGACCCCAATGTGAGGTTTTTATACCCTCTGATGTTGGCTAAGAACAGCGAGTTTCTAATAGAGCACTCACAGTTTTGATATACCCTCCGTAGGCTGTTTACCAAGACAAGCAGAGAGAAAATATAATATGATGAGCACCTGACCTTTTTGATCTGGAAACAGTATTTTTTCCAGTCCATGTAATTGCATTACTGTTCATTTTCCGGTCAAGTGACTTTATGAAGATAGAATCAAGAGGAAGACAGCAGAATAGCACTAATATACATGTCGCAACTCACATACATTATGCAGACCCAGTAAGACAGCCTTACAAAATATTTCTTGAGGCCATCTACAACAGAAGACAGTAAAACAAATATTTTTTTGTTGTTCCATTATACAAGCTTTTATACCCGGTTAAGTTGTCATATCCCTTCCACAGGATGTCCCCCTTACTGCCACAGTAAGGTTTATGTCCACCATGACAACTGTTTATATGACAGGCTTCACACTCCTGAGAGTTTGAGAACAGATGTATGTATTTTTCAGTTGTGTTTCTTTTTTTTTTTTGTGATCTGTCAACAGGTCTACCATTTCTTTTCTAAACCCGAACATTTTAAGGAAGGTGTTAAGATGAGATCAGTTTTTTTTTTTTTTTTTTCGCACCTATGAAGCCTAACCTTTCACATGATCATAAAAACATTTTTCCCAAAATGAAATATGGCTGTAGCCAACTGGCCCCTGATTCTATGGAATTGCTCTCAGCGCGCACTCAAATTCTTTTGGGTGCATTTGCTTTAAAATGTTGCGTTAAAAGGTATTGACTAAGGTATGCGAAAGAAAAGTACCTATCACTTTTTTATGAATCTCTTCCCTTCCTCATAATAATTACACAAATTTTGTATGTTTGTCTATCAAATGATATTATAAGAAATACTACATTATAGTTTGCGTTTCTAATAAGAAAACAAAAAAAAAATGAAAAGGTGAGTACCTTTTAAGTGATGCTCTTGATCTAAACTGACAAATTTTCTTTATTTTATTGAGTAGACTTATTTAGTAATTTACTGAAAACATAACCTGTAGGACACAAATAGCCATATCTTATACAGTAGGTATAGCTTCATCCACTTTCCATTGAGGCAGAAAAGAGAAACACAAAATCACTGACTGATAAACCAATGGAACCTATTTTTTAGGGTTAAACAAAACAAATCAGTGAGTTGGTTGATCTTTTTTTTTTCTTTTCTTATCTTCAGAGTGCTTTATTAAATTGTAACACTCATGCATGCACAAAGACACTCAGGTGAAACCAAGTAAATCCTCTGACCCAGATTTCTTCTCTCTCCTTCTCTGTCCACAGCCGTCACCCTGTGAATGGTGCCGCTGCGAACCAAATAACGAGGTACACTGTGTGGTGTCTGACTGTGCTGTCCCAGAGTGTGTCAACCCTGTTTATGAGCCAGAGCAGTGCTGCCCCATCTGTAAAAATGGTAAAATAATATTTTGACATCCTCCCTTGAATTTTTCTAATATGTGGTTTCTTTAAAGTGAATTTCATTAAACTAGTGAGAGTACGTTTATCAACAGTGTGTACAATTTTTTTTGTACCTTTACATGTTGAGGAGTATTTGATGTTTTATGTATTCAAATTATTACCTTTGGCCCACAAGACACTAATGAGCAGTACTAGTTTTAATTATAAATGACACAATAAGCAGAGTAAACATTAGTCTATTGATTAAAGGCATGGTGCGAAGGACTAATGGGTCCTTGGAGAGCTTTTTATCTCCAAGCACCCAGGTGCCCTTGTCACATACAGCCAATCCCTAAATTAGAATTATAGGAATCCAATGTTTCATTGACTATTTCCAAGGCAAGGTGGGTGGCTTCCCTTTGCTAGTTCTAATTCTTGAGAGACAGATGGATCTTTATGACTAAAGTCAAGCTGCTGAAATTATCACAAGCAAAGAGCACTTTGGGTATTAGCATATTCATAGCCTTAACACAATGGTGCATTTATAATAAGTATGAATTAGGAACTAAAATTTAACCAGGTGGCATATAAAAATTTGTACACAAAATCCAATGTGTCTTTAGCAACTGACCCATATTTTCTCAAATCTGTCTTTATGTCCATAGTATATCTGGTGTTAATCCAAGACATCTTTGCTCACACAACAACGCCTTCTGTAACAAAGCTGCCGAAGCTGCTTGAGGAGATCTAATCCAGCCTGACAGGGTACAATGACACCCTTGGCATTTCAGGGAGTGCCTGCTGTTTGCAGGTGCCCCAAGGGTGTTTGGTCAGATTCTGGTTTACAGATAAATCTGTATGAGAGTGGAAAGCTAAGGAACGTGAAGAAAGGACAAAGGGGGTGGGTGGGGGGGCTGGAGAGCTCTTACTTTTGTGCAGAATAAGTAGGAAACAACATGCTCTAGCATGCCTGAGTCAAACATTTTAACAGTGTGAGACATGCTTTTTTTTAAATCATTACACTACTGTAGAAAAGAACTCAGTGAGCACTGATTTAAAGTGGAGCAAGATGTTCCTTTTTTGTGATCCTAAGCAATAATTCAGCATCCTTCATTTAGAGGATTACTCCAATCTATTGTCAGGCAAGTCCTTCTATCTTATACCCCCTTTTTCATAAAAGTGTTTTCCAAAAAATTATTTGGATTTTTAGAAAGGTTTTTTTTTTTTAACTACTTGGTTAGGTCACAAACACCTTTAATACATTCTAGTAATTTTGCTTCTATAAACAAAAAATAACAAAACAATGAGTACCTCCATAATTTAGCTCAATAATTAGAAAAAATTAAAACAAGCTGTGGGCCCAGTGATCATTCTGTAAAGCAAGAACGCAAATACTAAGAATGTATCCCCCCCCCCAAAAAAATAGCATGTTTAAAAGATTTCTACCTTGTTTTTTATGCAAAGAAAACTATATATATTTTTTTATAATTTTTTTTTGTTTTGGTTTTAATCTGACACTGGGATATTTGCGGTGCATCCATTTTTTCCAATCCCATGACGAATCCAAGCAAAAACATTGTGTTTATTTTTTTTATAGTTTTTTCAATAATCAAAACTTTTTCTGTGTAAGGAAATGTGTATATTTTTAATTGAATAAAAAAAAATATATATCAATCAGTTAAGAAAAGTTTTCTTAACAAGCAGCTTATCAAAAAGATTAAAGCAAATATTACACCACAAAAATCGACTTTCAAAGCTATAACCTGAGATGCATGTCCCTCTGCATGAACTCCCCTACCATGCCTGACACTTGGCATTTTAGCTTGTAAAAATGAAAGCAACATTAACTTTTATAGCAATTCTGCAAAGAATTCAGTGTTAGAAAAAAAATGCAATAAAAACATCAACACAAGAAAGGTGTTACACACACAAGAAGTGAGTTAATTTCTTTTTTATTATTTTTCTTGAGGTGGTAAAAAAATAGCCATATACTAATGTAGAAAAAAAGAAAGCCCTATAGTTCACATATCCGAATGTTAGCTTCGAAATGATCCTTCCTTAAGATAATATTGTCAGGTTTTGAATTTGTGAACAGAGTAAAGATAGACCTCAGGATGCATCATGGAGTCTGTCGATATTTCAATAAAGTAGAGAGCACACTTGGAAAACGGGGTTTTTATACAAGGAACAAAGTGAAGAATATATCACATTAAGTACCACATATGAAAGTGGGATCAGAATTGGGCTGTTCAAACTGCCGAAAAAAAGTTGAATAAGAGATGTATATGGGTAAAGAGATTAGATTTGCTTTCAGTGTGAACCTTGCCATAGAGCAACTTCCTATTAATACAGAAATAATCAGCTTGAAAAGATAAAGACAAAATATACTAAAAACACTAAGAGTAATAAACTAGAAAAAAAAGCAGAGCAAATATAACTAATACAGCAAACCCTGATGGCAAAAATAACGGAATATGGCAAGACTGGAAACACCAACTCAAAACTACAGATAAAGCAGATGATATACGTGTGGTGTATTATTGCCGCTCCCTCAAATTTTCTGTGTGGCCTCTAGGGGAATCTAAAAAATATGTTCAAGGCGCCTCAGATGACTCCTGTCAATGCCTCTCCTGAATGAACATGCTCCTTAACCTATGTCTAATGTCTAAGGGAGTGCCCAGCCACCTTGCAGAGAAAGCCAATTTCAGACACTTGTATCCAGCATCCCCTTCGTTCGGTCATGATAAAGATTCCATAACCATGGGTGAGGGTGGGATCATATACCAATATATATTAATTGCTAAGCCTTTTCACTCTGCCCTTTTTATCGCAACAGACCAGTGCATCATCCGCATTAAAGTGGTGGCTTCAGCCAATCCATCTATTGATCCCACACTCCTTTCTCCCCTCACTAATGAACAGGACCCCAAGATACCTGAAGTCCTCCACTTGAGGCAGGAACTCTCGTCCAACCTAAAAGGGAGAAGCCAGGGAATTGGGGGCTCTGAGTTTCATCCGTGCCACTTTGGACTCAGTGATGAAACTGAGTCGCTTGACTACTTACAGCTGGCTTAATGTAACTTCACTTGTGGAGCCTGGCTTACTTTAAATTAATAAGGACACTTAAGACATGGCGCCAGCAGTCACCCTAATAAGTGCTATCCAAATATTGCTGGCAGTAAGGAAGGAGCTAGGACGACAGAGTAGTATGCTTTTTCAAGCACCAGTGAAGTTCGTATAGGGAGGCTGTAGTCCCAATTTGATGAGCATCAATCATTTTTGTTTCCGTTTCGTAATAATGTAATGATGCTGTATTGAGCAAAGCAGTCTGGAGGATCTTTTCTACACTGGCTAATGTTCTTATTGTTGACCCCACTAAAAGTGATGGCCTAGGAGCTAGGAACAGGGGGTATGAGCTATTTCGAGTATTTGGATCAAGCCTTTGTGAAACAGATGAAGCCAGAATGCACTTCTCACGCTAGGTCAAGCCTGTATTTATCTATTACCCTGGAATTTCTGAATTCTTCATTTGTTAAATTGGCGTTTGAGATGAGGACACAGAACAACAACAAAAAGAAAAAAAAAGAAAAAAAACAACTAAATGTAATAGCAAGCCATATTTATATATCACAAAATTTAAAAATATTACGCAGGATAAAAGAAAAATGGATATTGAACATGCCTTTAGAGAGTAAAGGACAGAAGCATGGCAGATGGGACAGTTATATAGGTGTGAAGAAGTAGCAGAAAGCAAGAACAAGAAAAGAAAAGAAAAAACCTGGCAATATGAAATTATATGAAAGGGTAAAGAAACAAAAGGGGTATATGTATATATATATATATATATATACATTGTTTTTTTCACTGAAACAGAACTTGATAAATATTGGAAACTAGCATTAGAAGAGGAAGATTGCCCCCATTGGCCTCTCGTATTCCTATTTAATATTTCATTTATAAATCAAAAGGCAAATTTTTCAAAATTCAAAATTATAAGTGTACACTTATAATTACCAAATATATGTATTCATTTATATATTTTTAGCGTCACCAGTAGGAGGGGGATGAATAGCAAATTCGTTGTATATTAGGATTTTGCAGTTAACGAAAAATATATGCAATAAATGTGTCCTCACCAATAGCAGTGGTTTGTCAGCACCTTAGGCAAGTGAATACACATCCTTTTTGCGGAAAATATTGAACTGTTTCATGTGTCCTGAAACATGTCTTGCTGCGAAACTGGCAGGAGCACAGGTCACACTCATCCCACATCAACCTTAAAGGAGTTTGTCCTGTAACCTGTGCCAGCTGTCTAGAGGTAGATCGATGAGAGTTTAGAGTTGGCAAGCACTTTCAGTCTCTCCTCTAAACCCAGATCAAAGAGACCTTGCTGGGTTAAAAACTGAAAATATATATGCAAATAAATCTGATTGAAATGATCTGTGCTGAGGCAAAAGAGGATTAACAAGTTGGATGTTGTATTGTGTTTTTGTTTTTTTGTCTACTTTGGTACCTACCTTTTTGCAGACTGTACGAGCAACACTGTGTAACCTTTAGCCCCTAGGAGTGCTAGACCTGAAAGTTTCAGGTTTAGCACCTCTGAAAGCAACTGGCAACTGCACTGTGGCGAAGTTCAAGTGTATCAGGAATCTATTAGAAGACCACTGTGGGCTAGCAGATGGTGACAAAGAAAATGCTACATTCACTCCACTAGATGAAAGCCTACATCAGAGAACCGGAGAACCAAAAGTTGCTCAGGATGACTGGATTCTCAGTCATCCAGGTCATAGTCATTCCAAAAAAGTTAAAAAGCAAAAAAGCCATGCATCTGTGGAAAGGTTGTTTGGTTTCTCCAATATAAAGATCAGAGCATTCCTCACTGCATCGAACTGCATACACCAATCCACTCATATTTGGTCTGGGGGTTTTGTCCTTAGGATGTACTAGTCTCTGTTTCAGGGTCTTGTTAGGTTTGAAATGTACAAAATCTGCATGGCCCAACACAGAAGAGTGACCTCCTGGGACAAGATTCTGCAGTACATCTTATGGACAAAGGACATTCTTTTGAGGACCAGAATGTTCACATTTTGGACAAAGAAAGTAGGTGGTTTGAGAGGGGCATAAGCCATCTATGTTAAAAAAAAAAAAAGGAAAATAAACCAAGGAAACAGAAGACCTTGCCTATTCAGCCAGGCCAACAATTCCCCTTAACGACACCCCTTTCAGAAACATAGACAAGTATGGGGCATTGCAGGCTAACAAAAGAAGCCAAAGGACTCCCATTCCAAAGGGGTGGACCATTTCGTACATTTCAATTTGCATGTTTTATAAGCAATAACAAGACTTTGTAGGGGCTACTGTATAAAGCCCCAAACTCAATGCTATTTCTGACATTTTGAAAAAGCTTCCTGGATGCGAAGCGAAACTTCTTCCAACTTGGACACAAAGTCCAGTGGATTGTTTTTGAACTTTTTTGGAGTAGCTTAGGATGTGCCCCAATTCAGAGGCTGCATCTTCTGAAGAACACATTTGTGGACCAATTAGGTCAGAGTACTGCGCCAAAGGCTTCCCCACTCCAAAAATCCTCCTTTCTTTAAATGCTGCCAATGAATGCATCCTTCATGGCCCATCATTTCGGGTTGAAGTGAATTGGTCAAGTCCGTGCAGCAATGGACAACGGTGGTAAATATTATGAATACAACTGAAATAATAGGATTCCTAATATCAACAATAAACCTCTAAGACAGGCCTTCCCAAACTCGGTCCTCAAGGCCCCCTGTCCTGCAGGTTTTAGAGGTTTTTTCTGCTTCAGCACAGCTGGTTATAATGATTGCAGTAGACCAAAAGCCTGTTAATCAGCTTTCAATTAAAATCAGCTGTGCTGGAGCAAGGAAACCTCTAAAACCTGCAGGACAGGGGGCCTTGAGGACAGAGTCTGGGGATGCCTGCTCTAAGATGTTTAAAGGTAAGAATATAGTTTTTTAAAACACAAACTTATACTCGCTTTATTAAGATCCCTCTAACTTTAAAAAATTAGTTTCTGGATCTCTCAGCTCCAGCTCACCTTGGCAGCTGTCAGCCAACCAGGTTTTCCCTCTCTATCCAGGAGAATACGCCGGCTCACCACGTTGAACCTACTGCCGGGTTAAAATGCTGGGTGGAAGTTAATCACATAACTCATTCAGATAATATTCAAAAGTTTGGCTTTTTAAAAACTGTATTTTTTATTCAGTAAATCTTGGCTGAAATTAAAGTTGAGCTTCAAAATAAGGTAAATTTATTTAACTCTGCTGGAGCTATATTGGCAGCTTAATAACTACCGTAGCTCATCTTCACACGCCTGCAGCCATGGCACATCTGCTGCCGTTCCTCATAGATTAAATAAACAAAAATCTGAGCAAATAGCTGAGATCCAGACAAAAATATTTAATAAATCCTCAATAATGTGGATTGAAAAATTAACGTTATGTTCATAAATCTGATTGTAGTTGTCAAGTACTTTCTACACAAATGTTAATTATTTCATAATTCCAAACCACTTTTTTTATTTTATTTTTTCCATGGAGCATTGTTTTTCTTCAGCACTTCAAAACATAGAATGCTGAAATATCCTGTTTGATTTTTGACATGTCACATTAATAGTGAATATTCCTGTCCCTCATCTTTATCTAAATAATAACATTAATAATAACATATGTATAGATCTGAGCCTCATACTGTCACGGTTGCTAGGTGGCCAAAGCTATGCTGGGATAAGGGTGGGACGGCTGCTGAAGTCTGGACCTTCCCAATTCACAGCTTATCACTTTCAGCTTTCATTGTTTGTTAGGTATTTGGAAGATCTAATCTGCACGTAGGCCAGGTCTAAGTGCACCCTGTGAATTAGAACCCACCCTCAGACTGCATTAAAGCTGTGCTCTGGGTTACATGACTCTTTGAGGGATGGATACAACCCTATTAAGTCATATAGACAAGATTTTCGAAAGGGCAAACCAGAAGGATCCTCTATATGAGCCAAGGGCTGTACATTGACTTTAAAAATGATTTTATATATTTCAAATCATGGTAATACTAGGGCTTTTGTACTGATTGAGCATCGCTTAAAGGCAACAGCCTCCCTAAGACTTAATGCTTACCACGACCCTCCATTAATCACTAGAGTATATCCATCTTCTGATAGCTAGTTTCAGCAGTATCATATACTGGTCTATAAGCTAAAATTATATCACATTGTTTTTATGAACATGGCATTAAACTATCCTCCAATAACCTCTACAGACCCCACAGCTTTATCCTAATAACATGTCTGTCAGATTACAATTTCAGAGGAATTCTACCCTGAGGCCTGGTTGAATATAAACCAGAATTATGCTCTACTAAAATTTGAATGGAGGTCCAGCATGGTACTAACAATGTGTATCTACTTAAATAAAAAATGAATGCAAAAATGTCCTAAATTGGTTGAAAATGTAGCCTCGGATTTTCAAATGTGAGAAAAGTTCTCTGGGAGGAGCCACACCTCTCACATCAGATTATCTCACATTAAATCAGTTTTATTGGGATACTAAAATGTGTAGGACTATTGGCCCTGAAAGTGGCTCTGTCTTGAGGAGTTATGACACATTTTGTTTTTTTATAGCAAGTTTTAGAGGATTCTTTAGATGGGCAGGTTGTACGGAGCTGGATACTGAAAGCTATCTTAACTGATTATCACATCAATTGATATATTACTTCCATTGTTATTCACTTCTGCTTACCTTTTTAATTTAGTTGAACAGGGTTAGAAAAATATTTATACCATCAGGTCTTCTTTAGAAATTCTTTAGAAAGAAAACTGATCAAACATAATATTGCTTGTTTTTTACCTGCTACAGTGTGAATATACCAGCCTTTTTACCCTTTTTAACCTTAGTTACTAATTAACTGTACTTAGATATCTGCTTGTCCATCGTTTTTATCAGTGGTAAAAAAAAAAAAAAAAACATTTTTAAAACGAATCCTCTCAACAAGATGGAAAACAAAAAGGTAAACCGCTATGCTTTCAGGATAATGCAGATGTCAAAACTAATGAGAGTAATTTATTGCCCTGAAAGTCCATTCACTTGTTTGTAGTAACAAAAGAAAACTATAAGGACTTCTGCGACCCTTTCATACAAAAGTGAAGTGATTAACACCAACCCTTCCTCTACTCTACCCTCTCAAAGCAGCCCTCTTCCTCTGTCTCTTTTTGTGCACTCCAGCCTCTCAGTGCTGCCAAGGCAGTGCCTGGCAGGCTCCTGTGCTCGTGGCGCATTAGGATGCAAAGCGCTCCATGTCGAGGGAGAAGGGGAGACTAACAAAAGCGCTTTAGTGTTGCAAAAACAAGCCCATCGGTGCATGCCTGTGAAAAGATCTGTGCGTCTGCTCTTACTCCCCTAACTCCCCCCAGCTCTCTGCATCACTCTACCACCCCTTCTGCAGAGAAGAAGCTCTCGGGGGAGATGCATCCATTTCTCGTAGTTCTCACTCTTCTTTTTCTGTGTCTCATGCGGCAGGTCCAAATTGCTTTGCCGGAACGACGATCATCCCAGCCGGAATTGAAGTAAAGGTGGACGACTGCACCATCTGCCGCTGCCACAACGGAGACTGGTGGAAGCCAGCACAGTGCTTGCGGCGGGAGTGCCTCAACGGCCAGTCGTTGTCATAAAGAGAGGCTCCACTGCAGATGGTGGATAAACTCAGGCAAGGCTCTGCCTACTGGGCTATTTTAAGTGATTGACAGGGCATGAGCACAATTCCTACAAAATAAAGAACAAAAGAAGTTAAAGGAAAAGCAGAGGTGACGTAGAAATGAAGAGACGCTCTCACAAGCTTCATACAAATACAGTATACTAGCCAGTGAGAAGATGATGGAACTTATCTCACGGCTGTTTCCGCCCTGCAGTTTTACTCGGCCTATATATTTGCAAAAGTTGACTCTGCTGCTTTCTCCCAGAAAGTTTCTAAGCTTCTTGAACTCTTTCCTAACCACTGGCAATGGTGAACTGCTCATGTCAAGTTTCTGTATGTATGTCTTCAGCTTGTTACTACGCGTTCTTCATGACCACGCTGGTGTTGTAAAGATCAAACAGCAGGAAAAAAAAAAGAAAAATTGAAAGCACACTTTACTGCGCTTTTTTTGTGTTTTCCTGGTCATACTAGGATTACCACTGCAGATAAGCTTAAATTCCCCACTACCCTCTAAGAGCTTGTTTACAAAATGCACATTGTTTGTCTTCATAAGACTTTTTAAATGGATGTGGCTGTTGCTCACCTCTACCCAATGAGTGTCATGTTTTATAAACTGCAATGCATCTGACAAGGCTGCTTTTTTCTTTTTTGGTATGCCATTGTTTTGTGTTGTGTCTTTGTTTAAAAGCAGCACAAACTGAAGCTTTCGGTATTACTGTGTGTAGCTGAGAAGGAAGCAGGATGTTAACCCATGTAGCCCTTTGAATGAGCAGGAAATACAGGAAAAACAAATCTTCTGTCTGACCAAATGTCTTTATTGTTTTGTTTTTTTGTTTTGTTTTAAGGTCCAGATCCTTCAACTAACTAACTGCTTGAACTTGTTATCAAAGCACTTAGGAAGCCAAGAGCAGCCCGTTTTAATTTTCCTTAATCAGGAGTATTCTGTAATAAATCATCCAGCTGGGTACTTGGCGCAGCCTTCTTGCTGGGCACATCTAGCATGAACCGGCACACAAAGGAGAGGGGGGTCTGCACATGGCTAAGTGGTTTTAGGCAGCATTCACAAGTGTAATGTCCATGTGATGATTTGGTCTTGCCATTCATCCACTATTCAGGCACAGTGTGTTGAACTGCATTCACTGAAGCACATAAACCTCATACATAAGTCTTTAACATACAGAGCTCTGACATGTAGCACTGAATATTTAACCGATTTTCATTTCAGTCTTTCTTGAAAACACCACACTGTCTCAGCCAGTATGAAGCAAATATATGATCATGACTATAACATACAGCTGTGCTAATGTATTACACTGGTCGTCAGGCGATCCACTCTGAGAGAGGAAGCACCCTACCCGGCACCATAAACATGAAATTTTTCACATGATAAATATTACTCATTAATCCGGAGGTGAATTTCCGTAAGCAGACTCCATTCATCACTAAGATTTTTTTTCCCCCTCCATTTTAAGAAAATCTGTTTCCGTTAACCTTTTAAACCCCATTCCTCTACAGTGATGGATGAGTTGCTTAATAGCAGCTTCTAGCCCTCTGTAATGAGACAGAAATGAACAGAGGATTAAAGACCTGTGACTAAAGAGGTGTATCACCTTAAAAGGCATTAAAAGTAATTTTAGAAGTATCCCACACTCTAGAAATCTGCTGCATGACTTGAATAAGGACACTGGATAAAATTGGGCAAAGATTGTTCTTTAAAAGGTAGATTGGAATCTCTGTGGTCTTTTCTATAGTGTATAACTCTCTTAGCATTTTAAGTTTAGAAGAGGCAAAGCAAGTTTATTTATATAGTGCATTCAGTGGCAAGACAATTCAAATTCATGTACATGATTGGACAACACACAAGGGAAAATTAAATTGCGATATAACATAAAAAAAGTAATAAAATGAAAGAATGTTGGTTTAAAAACTTAAATGTTTAGCTAGAAACAGGTTAAGGGCACTATTTAATATGGATTTAAGGCAAATTAGGTTTTAAAGCACTTTTACAATTTTGTGGGATTTTGTTCCAGATTAGCGAAGCATAAGAACTATAAGCTTCTTTTCCATGCTTGGCTCTGGTTCTGGGAAGACCTGAGGGTCAGGTTGGTTGATACGTTGACGACAAATCTGTAATATATTTTGGTGCTAAGCCGTTGAGTGATTTATAGAGAGAAGTATTACAGTTTATTCTCTGAGATATGGGGAGCAGCTGTAAGGACATTGGAACTTTGGAGATTTGCTCCACTTTCTTAGTTTTAGTGAAGAGGCAGGCATACAGCATCCAGGGATGTCTACAGCTGTCAATCAATCCTACTAAAGATGGACTCATTAGTTTTTCAAAGGTTATTAGTCCTGTGCACAAAGAAATGCTGTAAATTTAGTATAAACCCAGATTATTTACTCCCAAAGGCTGAAGCTAACAAGAGACCCAAGACTGAATCTTACTACTACCTTCTTAAACGATTATGTTCTCAAAAAAAGTCATTGTGGTTTATAAAAGTTGAGAAGAGAAAACCTCTTAGAACCCAATATTCAGCCAGACAAGGTGTGATATAATCAGAAATGCTTAAAGGAAGACAGGTGGCAGGCTTAAACAGGCAGATGAGGACAGAATCAGCCTGTAAGAAATTGATGAAGGCAGACAGACTGATAGCAGCCTTTGAGCATGTAAACAGTAAATGGAAAGTGTCTTCAACTAGTGTGAATAAATGAAATGAGATTTTAACAATAAAGTTACATTTTATTTTTAACCTTATGTGGAGAAAATAAAAATAACTTTAAAGAAATTTAAAAACAATGGAATTAAGTTACAGTTAAACAACAAAAATGACCTACTGGCACTGTACACATATTTTTGAAAAGGAATCAATTGCACAGAAGTATTATATAAAGATAAAAAAAGAGATCTAAAATCCCAACAAGTCACATTATCATGCTAAAACTATGCAGATTGTATAAGCTGCTAAGGTTGAGCAAAAATAGATTTAGGATAACAAAAATTCATCACAAGACCCTGGATGGTTAATATGATGACTCCATCCCCTCCCACAGCTCTGATTCATCTTACAGAACCAACCAAAAAATACAGCCTCAGCAACCCACAACAATACCTGCAACTTATCAAACAAACCATTGTATGCACTTCTTTCTTCTTTTTTCTTGAGGTAATTATGTCCTCGCTGATGTAGAATTCCTCAAACTGTAGCACAATGGATTGATAAAGTAATTTCATCATCTTAAATTGCACTTCTTTGTTTTAAGGTATCATCATTGTTACTACAATGTCTACCATGTAAGATTATTCACAAATATAAACCTCCAATAAACATTAACCAACATTAACTGTTGGAATCTGAACTGAATAAACACAACTGCTTATATGAAGGCCTAATTGATATGCCCCAAAAGGGGAGAGTGACATAATAAAGAGAAAGCACAGAATTTTAAATACAAACATTTATCCAACATTATGCCTGTCGCTGTCTGCGGAGACAGAGTTGCCCCAAAAAAGTGCTTCAAGTTCTCATTCTGTTCGCATCTACATACCTATGAGAATAAGGTTTGACTGTGTTAACATGGATTATAAACAAGTAATTGTCAAGCCTGCAGGTAAAGGATGATATGTTTATTACTATCAACTGGCCGCATAAGGGACCTGTGCATCTCAGAGAAGCAGATTAATTTCTCCTATCAATGGGCTCTATGCACAGCTCCACTACTTCCTCAACTTCAGCAGCTTCTTTGCTTATTGGACAAGCTGATAAATCTATATGTGTCTGGCTGGTTACTGGGGTCAGTTATTGGGGTTATTCTGATATAGTCTCATCATACATAATACTGTTATTAGGTTTTTAGTTTAGGTTTTATTTTCTCATCTGATTAAATACTTGAAGTTCTAATTAACATGTTATTTGTAACTACAAGCAAAAAAAACCTAATACATTTATATTAAACTGGTGGTTATTTCTTACTCCATCATTCTCAGATCATGCAAATCTTGTCTAATTCAGCTTTCCTGTTACCAACATATTATTTCATGGGCAACTTTCTAACATCCAAACTGAGTACTGAGGCCTGAAAGTCTATGTTCATAAATCACAAACACAAATCAGCAAAACATCATATAATAATTCTACTTATAACAAGCAACTATCTGAAAATATAATCTAAAGGTCACCAATCAGTTCTAAAACATCTTTAGCTGAGCCCTTGTTGATCCCTGGAGAACCACTGTACCAGATTAGTACCTTAGTTGGACTTTTCATTCATTCTATTACAAGTGTCTTTTACTCAAGCCAACTGCAACCTGAGATCTTGCCGTACTTTTTGTTGATTAGCTTGGCTTATGTTTCATTTTGGGTCCTCGTCTTTAGTAAAACAAAACATCAAAGCCTTATTTTTTTATTTTTTTACCTGGGCACAAACCAAGCATTTATCAAAAGAATCAAACCGATCATAATTACACGAAACAATTAACACACTTACCATAACACAGGGCAGCTCCCCATCATTTGAGACTAGACATGACAAAGAACTTCCCCTTCTTCCTCAATTTTAAATGTGGTGCACTCTGTTCCTCATCTTTACGTTAACTGTTAATTAACAATAATTTCTTTTTGTATACAAGAAGAAGTTAATGTTAATTACCCTTCAGTCATAAAAACTGTCTGGGAAAATTCCAGGTACAGCTTTAGACTGGGAAAGGTTTTCTAAAACAGACACTGCCCTCAGAAGTAAGGGATGTCTGGTCACCGTAATCTTTTAGCTGCTCTGATTTAGCATCTTTCTTTGTACACAGGCAGAGCCCATCCATCTGGGTAGAGGTGTGCAGGCTCATAAAGCAAAACTGACACCAATGGTTTATCAGCTGCAGCCTCTGTACTCCAGACATTTCAAAATAATCAAAGGAGATTCATTCATCATAATTACTTTAAATGCCATCTAGTTATTCAGCTTAGAGAAGTATCCAAGGTGGGGAGAAAAAAATTCAAATCTAAGACGAAGGAAGAGAGAGAAAGAGTGCCAGTTGACAAGAACAGAGACTGTATGGACAGGACTCAAAGGCAAAGTTGCCACCACAGATGCCTTATTGCTACTATTCCAGATAAGATTAACAAAGTATGGCCTTTTGCATTCACACTGATTGAACATCCCTAAACTGCTTTAAGTGCCGACTTGTAATACCCCTGCTCGAGGTGATTTACTGTTATATTTTACCCAGAAAACTATGTTTTATTTTATTCTCAACGTTCTAGAAACACCCAGTTGGTTCAAGACAAGTACAAGGAAACGAGCAGTTCATCTACGGTTGAAACTGAAGAGACTCGATCTAAAAATATACAGGTCTTTGATAAAGGTAAAAAAGACAAAGAGAAGATACAAAAAGGGTGGATACGTGTCGCACTAGAGCTACTTGATCCCTATTGAAATGTGACATTGCAGCTCATTGTACTGCTGTTCCCACCAATGTATTTCAAATGCCTCTGAAGTGCTCAGCTTTTAACAATCTAAATTGAATGAACAATGGCTTCCCATTTTCTTAATTTGGTGAGCTGCTCTTATTGCCTGAGCTGGAAAGTAGAGCAGCAGAAGGTAAAGCGGTTGTAGACACAAAGTTAAACAGCCTAGATTTCAGATCAAGCGTAGATGCAAATGTTTGGAAAGAGTTGCTATGTGGGTTGCTCTTGAAGCAGGAATCAAACAGGAAACCACATATTAATATTTAGATTTATGTTTTATTGCAGTAGATTCAATGCAGACATAAAGCAGAAAGGCATTCTTTGTGCTTCAGGTACGCTCACTCATTAGACAGATTAGCCCAGTGACTTTCTTAGTGAAACAACATGGTTTAACATACAGCTTTGGGCTTTTGTCTGAAAAAGGAGGCTACCTTTAAAAATAAACAAATAAACAAGCAGCATACATCTGCAATTCATCCAGTCTCTCCCTGAGAAAACCAGAGGAAATTACTTTTTTTACCTTGAAAGTAAGTGGAAGGGCAGATCAGTTGCTCAGTCTGGCTGTGTTAACTTTCTGCTAAGAAACTAGATTTTTTTTTTCCGTTTGTAAATGTCTGTTCAAACGATCCCCATCTGTTCTGCTTTCATGCCGCATCCTTGTACATCAGCATTTTGTACTGGTTGCTTTTTCCATGAGACACTGATTTACTGTAGCTGGGAACTATCAACAATTGTGTTTTTTTCCCATTTTATTTGACTTTGCAACAAAACTGTTAAATGAAGTGTGCCTGAAAACCAACACAGATTTAGTGAGGGAATATTAAAACACTGTTACTATACAATCAAATGTATTTTTTATTTCTTTTTGGGATGGTGGGGTAGGGCACTAAGGATTTGTTGACACTGGACTCAGATTCTAGATGGCAAAATATTAACTCACGAGCATAGTTGATTGTATTTGAATAAATGCTTACACAAGTAAAATTTAAACTGAAGTCCAAATTTCAAAGGAATCCTTGGTGTTCCCCTTGTTTATATGTAAATATCTCCAAACATAAAGTGTGTATTCTTAAACTGCAGCCAGAGTAAAAAAGAAATTGTCATCACAAATTGCAAAATGTGTATTATTCCTTTAGACTAAAAATATTTTGTTAAATAGACTTGAAAAAAAAGAAGTGTTATTTAAATAATGTGTGTTTGTTCTCTTTTGTTATTTTGTGTCAGGCCAATTTTTTAAGATTAGGAGAATGTTTGTAATTCTGTTAGCCCAGATCATCGTGAAAGATACGTAAAAACAACTCCAAATAGAATAACTATGAGGTTGCTGCTAGATAAATCCCACTGAATTCTCCTTTTTTTTTTTTTTTTTT